CGTGTGGCTGTCTGGTTTTCCCAGCACTATGTATTGAAGAGACTGTCCTTTCCCCATTGTATATTCTTGGCTTCTTTGTTGTGGATTAATGGACCATATATGCCTGGGTTTATCTCTGGGCTCTGTCCTGTTCCATTGCTCTATGTGTCTGTTTTAGGCCAGCACCGTACTGTTTTGATGACTACAGCTTTGTAGTATAGTTTGAAATCAGGGCACATGATGCCTCCAGCTTTGTGCTTCTTCTCTAGATTGCTTTGGCCATCGGGGTCTTTCGTGATTCCACACAAAGTTTAGGATTGTTTGTAATATTTCTGTGAGAAATGCCATTGGAATTTTGATAGAACCTGCAGATTAAGTTTAATCCCTATGTGTTTTATGGATATTTTAAGTTTTTTTAATGCCTCAAAAGCTATTTTTTTGTATATATGTATTTTGTTTTTATTGAAGTCTAGTCCACTTACAATGTTGTGTCAGTTTCTGGTGTACAGCACAATGCTTCAGTCATACATGAACATACATATATTTGTTTTCATATTTTCACCAAAAGTGACTACAGGATGTTGAATATAGTTCCTTGTGATATACCGTATGAACTTGTTGTTTATCGGATTTTGTAAGGAATCCTGTATTTGGAAGCAAGAGACACTCTGCCAGAGTTCAGTAGGTGTTCTGTGCGATTTGATGGGTTTGTAGATGTAATTCTCGATGTGTTTGTGGGAGTGGGCGAGCGGAGTCTCTCCACTCCACCATCTTGGCTCAACCCCCCATTTTAACAGTTTTTAATTCTTCCAGTCCATGGTCATGGAATATCTTCCCATTTATTTGTGTCTTCATTCCTTTCTCAGAGGGCAGTCTTAATTCCTAAGACAGGTGTTGACTTCTCACCTGAACTCTGAAATAGCCTCATTACCGCTCTCCCCGCGGCCTCCGCGTGCTGCCTCTCTGGTATTGGAGGGCGGCTCTGAAGCCGTAGGTGGGATGCTGTTGCCCTCCTGCTCCGTGCTTCCCACTGCCTTCCGGGAGGGGGCAGGCTGCTCCAGCAGGGCCAGCCCCACCTCCCTTTCCCTCCCCTCCTCAGCCTGGCGCCTTGGCGGTGCCACACTACCTGACAGTTTTCTGAACATGCAGTGCTGTTTCAGGTCTGCCTGTTCATATGCTATTTTTTTTAATAGCTTTTATTATGTTGAGATATGTTTGCTCTATACACGCTTTGGTAAGAGTTTTTATCATACATGGGTGTTGAATTTTATCAAATGCTTTTTTCTGCATCTATTGAGATGATCATGTCGTTTTTGTCCTTTCTCTTGTTGGTGTGGTGTGTCATGTTGGTCGATTTGCCTGTGCTGAACCAGCCTAGTGTCCCTGGGGTGGATCCAGTGTGATCATGGTGTATGATCTTTTCTATGTGTTGTTGGGTTCTGTTTGCTAAAATTTTGTTGAGGATTTTTGCATCTATGTTCATCAATGATATTGGCCTGTAATTTTTTTTTGGTGGTGTCTTTGTCTGGTTTTGGTATCAGGGTGATGGTGTTCTCATGGAATGAGTTTGGGAGTGTTCCCTCCTTTTCAGTCTTTTGGAAGAGTTTGAGAAGGATCGGTATGAGCTCTTCTTTTGTTTGGTAGAATTCCCCAGTGAAGCCGTCTGGCCCTGGACTTTTGTTTGTAGGGAGGTTTTTTATTGCTGATTCTATTTCATTTCTAGTGATTGGTCTGTTTAAGTGGTCTGTTTCTTCTTGATTCAGTCTTGGTGGACTGTATGTTTCCAGAAACTTGTCCATTTCTTCTAGGTTGTCCAATTTGTTTCCATATAGTTGTTCATGTGTTATTTTCTCTACCTCCTGTTTTTTCTGACTCAGACTCCTTTAAGACGTAGCTCAGCTCTCCCGGCTTTAGACATGCTGTCTGACCTCCCCCAGCAGAATGACTTCCCTTCCTTGCGGAGCCTCTTCTGGCATGTTACACTTACTGAGAGCTACGGCTGATTCTTTTTTTCTTTCAGTCTTCAGATACAGAGCCCACCGCCTGGTGCACAGAAGACACTCAAAAGTTGAAATAATGGCTCATGTCTGAAAGAAGGTTGACCCCCAGGTTTAGTCGTGTACATATGTTTAGTTTCAAAAATGTTTTTCCTGATTGTAAAAATAGGAAAATTTATGAAAGTAATACATATTCGCTGTTGAAACTTGACAGAAATAGGGAAAAGTTAAAAGGATATGATGTCACCCGTCTGTTGCCCAGCATTCTTGGTGTATTCCTTCCTTCCTGGTCTTTTTTGATTCTTCTGTGTATATATCTATTGGCAAGAATGCGTCTTGGTTTTTGCAAAAAGAATTGAGGTTCATGAACATCAAGTTCAGTAAAGAGCTGAGGCCACCCAGGGAAGTACAGAAATAAGCAGCCGCTCTTCCAGATGAGGAAGTGGAATCTTGCCAAGGGCCGCTTGACTCTGTGTCCGTCTGTGGTACGAAAGCTGCATGTACTTGCTGAGCAGACACCTCCCTGTACCCATCATCACGCACTTAGTCATCCTCCAACAGCCCCTCAGGTGGGTGTGACGTTCTCTGTTTCAAAGGCTGGGGAATGCGGACACCAGGCATGTCTGCAGGATCTGCTCTGAGGAGCCCGAGGCCACCAGGAGTGTCCCAAACCATGAAGTTCAAAGATACATTAGGTCAGCATCGAACAGCACACTGCCCGAGGGGTCCAGAGTCTCTGTGTTTGTATCTTTGGTAGAGGAGTTTTATTTAAAAAAAAAACAAAAAACCTTGCAAACCATTGACCTAGCTAATTGGACAGATTCAGTTTTGCATAGTTTCCTTATAATGCTGGCTAAAGGAGACATTACTGTAAAGTCCTTTATCTTAATTTTAATATGTGAAGTGCTTTTAGAATAACTGAAGCTGAATCGTTAAGCTCCTGCTGTATACCAGGATTATTTTATTTATTTTTATTGAAGTGTAGTTGATGTACAATGTTGTGTTAGTTTCAGGTACACAGCAGTGATTCAGCTACACGTACGCATACATATCCTTTTTCAGATTCATTTCCACTACACATTATTACAAGATACTGAGTATAGTGTCCTGTGCTGTACTGTGGGTCCTTGTTGTTTATCTGTTTTATATGTAGTAGTGTGTATCTGTTAATCCCAAACTCCTAATTTATCCCTCACCTCACCACCCCATTTCCCCTTTGGTAACTGATTTGTCTTCTGTGTCTGAATCTATTTCTGGTTTGTAAATAAGTTCATTTATTATCTTTTTTTTTCAGATTCTACATATAAGTTGATATTATATGATATTCTATCTTGTCTTGTACTTGTCTTCTACTTAGTTATGATTACATCTCTTACGGTCCTACTACCTACTGTTTGTCTGCAAATAG